ATTAATTCTGCTTTGTCAATTAATATTATTTTTATTACATTTACAATGTGGATGAAGGCTGTAAAATTATCCTGAAACACAAAGGACAAATACACTGCTGACTTTTAATCATCAAGCGGACTGTCTTTTCTTACTGAGCCTGATGTCAACATTCATATTAGGTAACCTCCTGGTGTATGACGTGCTGTCAGGCACAATACTTCAACTACTTTACGGCTAATAGACCTGATATCAGCAGGTGAAAAAAAGAGCGAGAAGCTAATGACAGCTTAGCACAGGGAGGGTTGGTACAGGTGTTGCAGGTAATAGATACTGTAATCAACTTCTAATTTATTCAGTAAAAAAATAACTTTGAATCTATGCAAAGAGGGCGAGCTTTATGGAGGCCTCCATGTATGGGGTATGGGGTGGGGGGCAGAGTGAGCTGCAAGAGTCGAGATCATGGAGCGATGGCACAGTCCATACTCCCGGCGGGGGCCAGAGCACTCCAGTATAATATGGGATGAAGAACTGCAGGAAAAAAAATTAAAATACACAGTGCCAATAAGTAGTCAAGTACTGTAGCTCTCCACATATCTAAGCAGATTTAAGCAGAAATATTGGCATTCTGTATGTTACATTAGAAGATTGTTTTTTAGAGAATCAATAGGTTTTCCAATACACTTGAAATAACACTTTAAATAATTAACACATGTAGTTCAACAGTTTCTGTTTTTACGCTAAATGAGTGAATAAATCCTGGTCTCCAAGTGTGCAGGCTAAATTACATTTTGTGATTCCAGAATCTGGCCTCCCAAAATTTGGTCCTTTATTTAATTCGCTAAGCACCTTCTTTGTCATAAATCTGTTGCATAATGCAGCTGTCGGGTGTCATCTTGGGGGGTACTCATCTTTAGCGGTTGACAGAGGCTTTCATTTTAAGCTCTTTTTCATCTTGTGGGATAAAAAGCACTAGATAGAGCAGCTATGAAAAGTATTCAAGCCCCTTGGACTTTGTCAAACTTTATTGTTACAACTAGGAATCATAATGTATTTAATTGCGATTTTTTTGCCATCGATCAACACAAAACACTCTGTAATTTCAAAGTGAAAACAAAATCCTACAGATCTTTCTAGATCAAATATAGAGATTTTTAATTATAAAACAAGTGGTCATGTATCATTTATTGTGCTGCACCAAATCTAAATATGATAAAGTCACCATAGTGTCTAAATATCAAAATCATCACCTGTTGGGTCACCTGAACAGCCGCTGAGAAATCGTCAGCTTCATTTTTCAGAAAATCAGAAAATTAAAAATGGTATGGGGTACACATGCAGTGTCTGGAACCACATAGAGTGGTTGTGGTAGATGTTCAGAAGTGACAATTATGGCTCATGAGCTGTGTAGTCTTTCACTGTTGTGCTGTAGGGGACAATCTTGCCTCATCTGCTATACACTTTGGTGTGACTGCTGGAGGGGAAAGAGAGGGGGAGGAGACTCATGCAAAACTAACTGAACTTCATCTCACCTGTATTTTAAAGTCTTATTTGAACAATCATGATCAATAGAATGCCCTTAATTTGTTTATGCTTAAATCGTGTACAACACACACTAAATGCAATGTACTGTATGTACAGTATACTGTATTTGTATGTGACAAATAATGTTGCCAGTAACAACTGTAAATTGGGTATTTTTTTCTTTTGGATGTTTTTCCCTCATTCATTGCATTTAAAAAATGTATTAACAATTCCATAAAAAGTACTTTCAAAGTCGTGTCTAGTTGATATACAGTTCACTGAACTGATGAATTATATACCTATTTAATACAGAGATATTACAAATAAGTTACAAATAATCACTAAAATGATATAATAAATTAGAAAATGTCCAATCCTAGTGAGCATAATGTGCCAGGCTTTTGTTTTCTTAAATTGTGTAAAATCGGATTTAGATGGGAAACCCATTAATCAATGGTAGTTTGAGGATAATTATACAAATACTTTTGTCAAATACTTTTGGATTGGCCAAAAAACAATAAAGCTTTATTGTTAATGTCTTCCAAAGCAAATATATGGAAATAGTCCTGTGAATCTGTGGTAAACATATAGATGCACTTTAAATTAACTGCTATTAGTGTTATTCAGTTTATTCAATTTATTCAGTGTGCTGTAATTGTAGTAAAAAAATTAAATGTAAAAAAACCCCATCCATAAAGACACTGCATGCCACAGCAATTCAGTCTGCAGTAGCCGTTTCTTTAGACGCTTTAACCTACATTGTGAAACAGCCTGAGGTGAGGAGGATTTTAGATTAAAATGACATAGACATTAAAATGACATTAAAATTACATGACAAAGAATGACATAGCATCATGACACTTCTCAGTCATTATTTCATTCATATTGGTAAACAGTATGTCACAAAATGTGCAGAGATGATTTGATTTATAGCATTAAACAGTATTGGGACAGTCAAAAGTGTTAATAGTTTTCATAGTTTCAATTCCTACACTGGATGAATGCACTTCAGCATACAAACCTGAATATAAGCTGTAAAACCAGCACAAAGATGTGACACTTCATTTTTAAAGCAATGACTGAAAAGGGGAATACACAAAACAACACATTACACATTCCAGCCCTGTAGTAGCCAGGCTCTCTGAAGGCCCTCTATTTGCCTCTCCAGTGAAAAGAGAGTTCCCTAGGAATGGGAATGATCCCCATTCATCAAAGATCCAACAGCTCCACAAGGGACCTTTCCTTTATGTGCTCTTTAAACTCCAAAAAAAGTATTAAATTCCAAATCTTCAGTGCAGTTCCTTGTAATGAAATGAGCTCCCGGAACAGGTGCTCAGAAAGCCTAAGAGACTCTGTGGTCCTACTGTTTTACATCTGGTTGCACAATTTACTGCTTCCACTGCGGCTATACCATCAGTGGCATCCGCCCAGCAAAATATTTCCTGCCTGCACCAGTATAGCCATGACCAACCCCATTTGAGTTCCTACCAGTGGGCTCATACACCACCTCAGGCTAGAGTAAAGGCCTTTTATTCAATGACTTGCTTTCTACCTTCATTGAGTTCCCGGAACCAGGAGGTGAGCCTAATCTCACATGTACAGTATCACCTCTGTGCCACCAAGAATCATCCTGGCGGGAGGGGAGAATGGAATCAAAATCTAGATTTGAATGGACTTGAATCTGAATATGCCACAGGTTATACCAGGTTCTCTGCTTCCCAGAACTTCTCCATTATGGACTATAGGCAGAGATACTGTATATGCCTGGTAATCCATTGCCAGCTCTCAACAGAAGTTTGCTTTGCCCAGCACCCATGCTTTCTAACTTCCAGCGTTTCTCTCACCCAAGTTTCCCAAAACCTTTTTAATGGCAGCAACTTTCTTGCTGAAAACTATTTTTGTCAGGGCTCCTGTGCTTCTCCCTCTCTGCCCCACCATAAATTCTGGCCATGTCAGACAGTATCAGGATGTCATCTATTCCATTCTAACATCATTGTAACCAAACTCAGAATTTCAGTAGGTGTTCATAAGCAACGTGTTTAAGGACACAATATTTCTGAAGCAAAAACGGAAAAGGTAGCTACAGTACACTTATTACACCCAGGCACAGGAGAGACCCACTCAGCAGTCATATCCTCTCTCTCCCCCATGGGTGCTGAGTGACCACAGCATGCCACAGCAACACCCCCCCTCCCAGCCGACATGCTACACAGACAACTGGGGAAAGGGAATAAGCACAGGCAACTCACGAACTATAACAGGGCACTATGTACAAACAAGAGTCGTTTCATGTTTTCACTCTTTTCCTACAATACGATACTGTCTATTGTGCATTTTACCATATAGATTTCCTCAGCTGAAAATTTAAGTATTATGGCAGTTATGTGTTATGTGTTAGTCCTTTTATTCAAGTATTTACAGTATCCATATTCAGAATGCTTTTAAATAGTTCTATACTGGAGCGAGATCGGGTTCTTGGGAGTTCTGCCCTTGCCATTCCTACCCCGTTCATCCCCCACCTCAGGATCGAACCCGGGTCTCCAGCGTTGCTCCACAGGGCTCTTGCCGGCTGAGCTAAAGCAGGCCTTCCTCAGCCCAGGTGGCCAACATCCCTGTTATGCGCAGGGGAGTAGATGGCGGCGCCATCACCACGCTGCAACTGGCTCGTACAACCTGTATGTCGGCCATTCGTTACAATACATAAGTATTTCTATAGAAATACTAAGATTTAGCTGTCTCTGCTTATCACACTTATAAAACTAAGCATGCTGTATGGGAAGGATGTAAATACTCTTACCAGAAATCTGACAGTTTGTTGCATATTTTATTGAATATACCTATGTGAACAATGTACCATTAATTTGATTTCGATGTTTAATTCCAGAGCTGTAACATGTATATTTCCCACAGACCAGCTAGCTATTTCATCATCAGGTTATGTTCAGGGTAGAGCAGCATTGATATTTTAGAAGTTGCATTCTGGGAATTCCCATAATAAGGAAGTTGCTTTTTGCCAAAGCTAAATATAACGAACAAAATCATTAAACAGAGTTTAAAGTGGAAATATTGTATTGACATGGTAACACACAAAAAGGAACAAGCAACCATCAGTTTTGGAAAATGTTGCTTTTTGCGATGAGATTATGACAAGGAGGATGGAATACATTATAACCGTTGTTTTATCATCGAATCAATTTATCATTTTTCTGTTGCTTTCAGTTACTGTAGATAATGGAGCTTTTTTAACATTAGTGAAACAATTTAAATTCCTTTTCATTTTAAAAAGTGTACCTCTGTTGTGCATCTTTACACTAAATGTATTAATATAAATCTCTATATTTATGTTTGAAAAGCATACATAAGTAAATACCACTTTAATTTAATTTAATTTAAGAGGAGGAAAATGTACACATATATTATGTTCATTTCTCACCTAAAAAAAATTAAAAGTTGAACGAATTTTACCATTTAATTTTTAAATATTTTCTTTTTTTTAGGTTTATTGAAACATAAACAGTGAAGGCATTACTTGGTGTGAGAGAAGACAAACTGACATCTCGTAATGGCAGACAAAGTGAATGAATTGCGATTTTTCTATGGCAATATCACTCGAGAAGAGGCCGAAGACTACCTCAGGCAGAGTGGAATGAGTGACGGACTGTATCTGCTTCGACAGAGCCGTAACTATCTTGGTGGCTTTGCTCTATCTGTGGCCTACAGTAGGCAATGTTACCATTATACTATAGAGAGAGAATTGAGCGGTACTTACGCTATTGCGGGGGGAAAATCTCACAAAACTCCTAGCGATGTCATTGACTATCACGCGCAGGAGTCAGATGGACTTGTGTGCCTTCTCAAAAAACCTTGTAACAGGCCTAGAGGAATGCAGCCAAAAGTAGGACCATTTGAAGACTTAAAAGAACAACTCATTAAAGAATATGTGCAACAAACATGGAACTTAAGGGTGAGTCATGCTTTTATTTTGTTTACACACAGAATCGGACCATGTATAATGCAATTGCAGAAACGTTACATAATTACCTAAATGTGCTTGAGAAACAAGATAAATGATAACTGAAATCTTTGTGGGCAGCACAGTACAGAACATGGCACAGTGGTTAACATTGCTGCCTCCCAGGTCTGGGGTCCTGTCTGGATCTGGGGTGAAATCTGAATTTTGAATTCTGGATCTGGGGTGCTGTCCATGGGGAGTTTGATTTGTGTTCACGTGGGTTTTCAACAGGTACTCCAGTTTCCTCTCATACATACTAGTAGGTTAATAAGCTTCTGGGAAAATTGTCACTGGTGTGAGTGTATACAGTACATGTCCGTGTGTGGCCTGTGATGAACTGGTAACTAGAGTGTATCCTGCCTGTTACACACCCCAATAGTCTAGGAGTAAATGGAGTGTGACATTAAGGGAATTCCAGGCATGCAGGGAGAAGTCTTTGGTGTGGGGAAAGATAGTTGTAACTAAGGACATATTAGTGGTGCCAAAAGAGCAAAAATAACAAACAAAATGAAGCTGGCTAATTAAGTAAGGGGAAGCTGAGGGGAAGAAAACCCGAAAGACTCTGTCTTTGGCATCTTCTAATGCCTTAGCTAACCTATACTGACTACCTAAAACTATACAAGACAAGAGGCCCTCACCCATACTAAACTAGTGTTTCTTATACAAAGACAAACTATGTGTGCACAATGTACCCGGCAAACCTTGACTAACCCTTGCACCAAAATTTACACCAATACACAAACAAGTGTGCTATGAATACAAATAAGGGAAAACGAGTGTAGGCACAAGGAATAGAGTACAAAAGAGCACACAGGTTGATATAACATTTTTGGGCAAGGTAATGGCGAATAAACGATAATACAAACAAAAGTACCAGGAGGAGGCGAACACAAATGAACAAAGCCGAAGCTATACGGAAACACACACACGAAGCGAAATGAAGGAAAACGAAGCCGAAGCCGAAGCAAAACGAAGCCGAAGCAAAACGAAGCCGAAGCTGGGGTCAAGCGAAAGGCCCCCTACTTTCTGAATACTTCTAAGTTAAATACTGAAGAAGCTGAGTTCTGATTGGTCAAGTTGCTGATTATGAATGATGTATTATGGCAAAGTGGATGAATTAATGAACCAATGGAGAGGGAGAACAACCAAAGTCAGGAAGTGTGGAACATAGAAACAAAACAAACACACACAGACCACACTGGGATGTAAGACTGCCTCACACCTGTTGCTTGCTAGGATAGGATCCCAACCCTGAATTAAATGAAGCAGTTAGAAAACAAATAGATGGATTAAAAACCTTTGTACCTTGCTCACTGTTCATATTTTGTTCCTTTTATTCTTGCAGTCTGAATAATTTTGCACGGCCATTATACTGTAAATGGCTGCTAGCACAAGTATAATACAGCACATTAGGTAGATTATTGTACTTCAGTGGTGTACAGTGTAAATCCTGTTGTCTATGTAAAGTACTTTTCAATGCTTCTAAATGAAAAACATTACACAATATAAATATTCTCCTTGTCTTCTCCTTCTCCTGTTGCTCCTCAACAGGGTGCTGCTCTTGAGCAAGCCATTATCAGCCAGAGACCACAGCTGGAGAAAATGATCGCCACCACTGCTCACGAGAAGATGCCCTGGTTCCACGGTTGTATATCCAGGGAGGGCTCTGAGCCCCGCCTCCTCCAGTCACCAAGGATAAACGGCAAATTCTTGTGAGTCTACATTTTTCTTGAAATAATGCATTTCTTAGCACTGTCTCCATTACTCATATTTCCATACAGTTATCATTAAGTAAATTGTTGGCCAAATTGTTTTGGTTTAGAGCGGATTACAGTTTTGACTAGCAGTTACAGCGGGTCTATCATCTGTACAGTTATGTAAGTTGTACTATAATACAGCTATATAATAAGCTATTTAGCCAACAGAAAACACCTGAAAATAATGACTAAAAATATAGGAATTTCACAATAACGTATAATTTATACAACTCATACAAAAGTATAACTCACAATGCTGTAATTAAAATCATCAAAAAGTCTTGGATATGCAAAGTATCGGTAAGTACTGCAGAAAATTCTCACAATCAATGGTATATATTATAAAATTGCAAATGTAGACAAATATGACCCTATTTGAAATCAAGCCCCATTGAAATACTGTACTGTATATTGTTGGAGAAAATGACTTGAAGGAAACTCCACAGGCACAGCATTGAACATAATCCTAGCATTTCTTATTATTGGTTGCACCCATGTAGTTGTTTGCAGTGGTACCATGGTAAAAGTCAACCAAAGCATGAAGAAGGTATGATAAAGTATGACAGAAACAAAGGGAAGATACAGTCCATAATAGTGAAAACAAATGCATGGTATATAAGCATGGAAATAACATACTAGATACACTGCCAGAATATCCTACAAATTATTGGGGCAAGTTTTATCAAAGAGAAATCAGTCAGAACAGAAGATTTAATGCCCACATTGTATTTGATTTTATTCTGTTTTCTTTGTAATCAAGAATATTTTATTAGTTTATATTGTATATTTGAACCTCCTTCTTCATGTTACTTTCATATTGTGTACAGTACAGTATGTCATTTTCATCAGCAAACATCTTGATCATTGCAAATATTTATGTATTATGGTTAAAAATAGTTATTAATTTTCAAAGATAAAGGAACACTTCATAGGGTACTTTTTAAGTCATAAAATGAAATGGGTCATTTTAACAGTGTTAACATTGAAAGTAAATCTGGAAAACCAATCTTAAACCTTATCCTAATTCAGCACATTCAGATTCACTTGATTGGAACCAATAATAAGGTTAAAAAACGTTTATTCTTTGTTGAGGGCTACAGTATGACTCACTATGACTAGTTATACTGTAGAATCAGTCCGAGAGGCTTAATAGCGGACTTCTTAGTTTAGAATAATTAAAAATCAACTTCAGAGGCAAAATACCAAAAACTGTGAAACAGAGCCATTTCTATTAATTTACTACAAAATCTAGATTAAATGAGTGATTGTACTGTTGCTTTCTTGGGACTGGACAATGAGCACAGAACATTTTCAAAAGCAACATCCTTTCTAACAAATGAATAATGAAGAAACTGGTGTTTCTGCTCTGTTTCAGTATTGCTCATTTGCCTATAGCAGAGGTGTACTGCACCTGATAACTTTAAAGTTGAGAGCACACACACAATGACCTGAAGATGAGAAAAATCTCAATCCTCAGATGACGTGAAGAAAATCAGAATCAGAAGTGATACTATTAGTTACAACATTTTGTACAAGTTTAGATGTAAAAAGAGGAACTATTTATTGCATATTAAGCATGGTGAATATTAATTTCACTCCCTAACGTTCAAGAGTTGGCTCATAAAACTATCAGTATCATACCCCTAACATGTTACAGTCACTTCTCTCAGCACTGGGTCTCATAATTCCTTTAGAAGCATTTTCAATATCACAAACTGAAATCGTGAAGATGTTTTTAATTTTCTAAACATTTTTATGTTTTACTTAAGACTTGCTAGTTTTTTTGGTTGAAGAAAAATTGTGGTATTTTCTTGCTTTTTATTTTTTGCTCTTTTTGACCGCTTTAAAACAGAAACAACAGCAACAGCAACCAGTTGTGTGTACTGTGAAGAGAAACACGGAGCAGCAGTGAAGGAAGCAATTGGGAATAAAACATTTGCTTTTGTTTTTAAATGGAAATTGAAATGAAAAAACAATCATAAAAAATATACTGTATCTTGAAAATACTTTCTGCATTGCCTTTAGATCAGCTGTAGAAACAGTCTTTCTTTGTGGTTTCCGCACTGACATGCTGCAAATTACTTCCTGAACTGACCAGTGCCCATCGAAGAGGCCTCTGCTGCCATATCATGATGAGAGAGGCGTTGTTAGTTAGTCTTTTTGTTCTGAATGTGCAGAATTCAGTTACCTCTTTAGGAAAACATTAACTTTGTTTCCTTACTTGGTTCACAACAGTTCACAAAACATATGCTACTATGCAGAAACTTGTTTACTGTTTGTAGCTCTTAAAGTTTTGTTTATTACTAAGTAAAATGGATGAACATCAAAATATTTTCCTTAAATTTATGTTTGGGTCTTTTTAAATCATGTTAATAGTATTCACGTGAAGATACTTTAAAGTATAAAGAAAAAGTAGGTGAAAAAATATATCATTCTTCACATAAACTAATGTTTTTTTTAGTTACCAAACTACAGTTCTAATACAAAATTAATCGTGACAGCAAAGAAAATATTTTATAATATTCACAATAATGTTGTGAAATATTTATTCCATTGAAATACCACAGTGGGTGTTTCAGTGTAACAGAAAGTATGTTTAGAATAATGTGCAAATATAATGCATATATTCCAAACTTTTCTGGATAATACATGTAATATTACATGTTACTATTTAATTTTTAATTTAATTTTTAAACATTTAACTTAATGTTTTACTCTTTCTTTTGTTGAGCGCCCTCTGGTGATACAGTGTTGCAATAACCAATAATAAGAATAGCTCATATTAAGAACTGTAGTTTATTTTCTAGCTATAGAAATGCAATGCAATTCAAAATTTGGTTTCCTCTTTTAAATCAATATTTGCCTGAATTCAATTTTATCTTCTTAGATGTCTCATCCCAGGTTTTCTTTTTGACAGAATAAGGGAACGAGACAACAATGGCTCATATGCTCTCTGTCTCTTGCATGAGGGCAAAGTTCTTCACTATCGAATTGATAAAGACAAGACTGGGAAGCTTTCGATACCCGATGGAAAGAAGTTTGACACACTTTGGCAGGTACAGTAAGGGTTCAAATACAGTATAGTGCAAATATTAATGTAAAGAAAAGGAAATTTAAATAAATGTTAAATCAGTTTTCTGTAGTAAAAAAGTTGGTAAATATGATCTGTACATTATCATTATACCTCCTTAATTCTTTGCCCTGTTTATTTGTATTTGTTTCTTAAATATCTTAAAATATCTGGGTGCTTTTTCATAAGGCATGTTAAGGTGCTCAGAATACAAATATTCTCTTCTGTAAAGATAATGTTAATCAATTTGATTTTTAAAAATATAGTTTTTATAGTTGTGAATATAGTTGTGAAATTGTCCTGCATTCTCTTACCTAGACTTTTAGAGTAGCACTTATGGTAAAATGTTATCATTATACACTACCTCAAAGTACTTATACTATAGGCAGTATTTAGTAGCGTTTTACTGTATATAGCCTCATCTTTGAGGCAAAAACTCAGATACCAGTAACCAATACAGTACCATCATAGATATTTTCCTGCATATCTGTATACTGTTCCAAAGTAAATGCACCAATCCTTTTGGTGGTAAACTGGCCATTAAAAGCTGCACAGTTTTTTTTATTTGATACTGATAAATGTTTTTTGCTTGGACTATGATGTGGTAGCTGAGATGACAAGGGCGTCTAGCTCCTGACCAGAAGGTCTCGGGTTCAATCCCAGGTATGGGCAAGTGATGTAATTCCTTCCAAATGGCTCCCAGGTCCACTGAGCCTGCTTTCCAAATGAGTACTGGGGGTTAATCCTTCGGGGAGTAATAGGCTGGCCAGAGTGGGATGCTGACCCCATCACCTCGACGTCCAGTGTCGGATGGTTGAGAAAAATGGTGTCTTATGCCCCCCATTCCCCCAATGGCCTTTATGGCCTAAAAAAGGGGACCTAACCTATGATATGTTTCCATCAAACAGCTAGTAGAGCACTATTCCTACAAGTCTGATGGACTTCTCAGAGTTCTTACAGAGGCATGTCCACGGCCCGACTTTGCTGCAGGTATGTTATATTCATTGCTCTCTATTCTGTTGGAAAACATTGTAACCAGTCATTATGCAGTACTGTATATGAGTTTCCAACATTGTGTCCTTTTCTTATTTCTGATAAACAATGCAGTGGTACTGTAGATGCTCTAGGACAGACTATAAGATGCACATATACTTTGTTAAAGCCTTTGAAGGTATAATTTTTTAAAAAATTAATTATTTTTCCTCTTTAAAGTTTTAAAGTATTAATTATTAGAATGAGCTTAATGACATCCTAAGATTCATGTATCCATTGTTGTATAATTCAATTGTGAAAATCAAAAGTGATAACAATTTTTGAAAGAATGCAAAGACTTTGAAACATATCATTTCCAAAAATAGCTACCGTTGAGGTTTTTACACGCCAGATCAGAGGTGACAAGGAAGGTTTAAAAAAGCATCAAAGTAACTGAACGTTTTCACACTGTAAACTTTGTGAAAACACCGATGTGTGACATCTCTTTCAAAGCTCTATCAAATGCAATACATAAGATTGGATAATTAAATATTTGGATCTTCATAGAATTCATCATAGGACAATAATAAAAAAGAAACATAAAGGAATCTTCAGACAGTGGAACACTGCACATAAAGGAGCAAGTTAAGCAATACATTTGCTCCCTCTGTCATTAATAGACCTGTAAAGCTTTTATTGTATTCTCTCAAATTGACTACTGCAATGCTCTACTCCCTGGGGTATCTAAATCTGTGTCCAAAATGTCCAAAATTCAGCAGCCAGAATCCTGACCAGGTCTAGTACAAGTGTTCACATTACTCCTATCCTGGAGTCCTTGCACTGGCTTCCGGTCAAATTCCGCGTAGACTTTAAAATCCTCATGCTCACCTACAGTATAAGGCTTTACATGGCTTGGCACCTCAAT